ATTTTTAGCTTCTGATCGTGAGTTTGTCTAATAATTTAATATGTTAACTCAAACACACCACAAAAAGTCTGTTCATCAGTGGTATGATGATTGATTAATCAGGCAACGCTAACGTCTAATACATGCACATAAAGAAGCTAGAGAGAAGTACGTACGTGAAAGTTGAAATCTAGAGCCGAAGTTATAGAAACTTTAATGCCTCCCTCCAATCACGACGACTGCTTCCTTCTGCTGAAAAAAACTAATTTCTCTCTTACGTAAGGTGATTTTATAGGTAAGACATGATTTAATTTAGGGGATGATTCTAGAAAGATATATGAGAATTCCAACTCCATATTTCCTTGTTTATCTATAATACTATTAGTACTGAAACGTCAAGTCCATATTTCCTTGTTTATCTATAATACAGAAACCCCAATATTTTACATTAATTTAAATAATTAAAAAAGCTCTGATAAACCAATATAAAACACAAAGTATAACTAGCGGAACAGGTTTTGGGCCTGGGCTGGGACAATAATAAAAAAAGGTCGCCCCATAAAATTTAGATTAAAATTTTTATAAAATACGGAGTATAAGGCACGAATAAAAAAGGCAACCCTTTAATGGATTCGATTAAAGTTTAGTAAAATATACATAATCACAAGATTTAAATATGGGTTTCACTGGAAAAACTAAGCTTATTAAAATATACATATTTGGATTCACAATATTTGAATATGGGGTTTCACGGAAAAACTAAACATTGTAACTTATTATTCTATGACCAGTTTTAATTACATAAAAATTATTGGCAATTTTTACAGGGAGAATTTTGTATATATTTTCATTGGTGGATCCATGTAGGAGCTCGGGTAGCCGAGCATACTCCTTAAATTTTGTCCAGTAATTTAATTTTTTTTTGAAAATTTTCGTTTTATGTTGTGATGCTACTCCAGCAAAACATTTGGACTACCCTAAAAAATATTAGGTTATTTCTAAATTATAAATCAAAATACAAAATAGCTCAAAATATTTAAAATAGTCAAAATGCCCAATAAATTTCAAATTTTTTAAGCCCAAAAGAAAAAGTAGTTTAACGAAACAAAGAAAGGTAGAAGCCAAATATTATTGTTTTGCAAAAAATCGGAAGACCCAAAATTGTTGTTGTAGTTGTTTGTTCGTTCCTCCCTCCCATGCGCACTCACAATTTCACGCTGCTGCTTGTTGTTGTTGTTGGTAGTATTTTTCCGGCGAACTCCGGCGGTCAGCTAATCAGCTTGCATGATGAAACAAGTAAATCAATAAATAAATAAAACTCAATTCTATTATTATTGTTAAGTTATTTCAAATTGACAAAACTGCAATTTTAGTCCCTGTGGTTAACAAAAATATATGGATGGAGTCTAAAATTTTTCCAACTTGCACCACTAGTCTAAAATCAAAAGTGTTTAGTGGTTTTAGTCTCTCAAAAAGTTGAAAGGACTATTTTGCCCTTTTAATTTATTTTTTAATTTTTTTAGTTGCTTTAACACCCTTTTAATTTAAAAATAATACAAAAAACAAGAATTTGCCCACCCTACCCTCACCCACCGTATCCCTACCCTCTCCCCCTTCCCTCTCTCTCTCTCTCTCTCTCTCTCTCTCTCTTCATCTTCTTCTTCCTTACTGCTCTATTTCACATCCTTCTCACATATTTTTTTAACCAAGCTATACTAGTTACAGAGAAAAGCTCAAACACACCTGAAACATAGAAATATCAATCCCATGAAAATTTGGAATGGAGAAAACAAAACATTTATGTTGATTACAAATCGAAGAAAATATGGAACGAAACAAAAATGGAGGAGATGTTACTCAATGGTACCCACCATCCTCAAGTGACAACGAATAGTAATCACAGGAGGAAAAACTCCTACAGTTTGATAGTATTGATGTATGCTTGGCTGATGGGTTTTTTCAATTTGAAGTCTGATGAGAAGAACCTGGTAACGAATTTGTATAATTCATCTTGTCTTGCAGTTAAGGTGAAGAAGAAGAAAATGGATGTAAGGTTGGATAATAGATTTTCTGGGTTGTTCATCCATTTTTCAAGTTTGTGTTGAACAAATTGGAGCCCTAATAATATGTCAAGGATGAACAAAGGAACTTGAATCAAATGCATCGATCCTTATATTGCATAAGTTGTATTGAATTGGGAATAACCGAGGTTTGAGAACCCTTCTGTGGCTATAAGGTTTCTTTGATTTGAGGAACGTAGGATGAATCTGGGATGAAAGCAAGAACACGATCATAGGATGAATCAGGTATGAAGCTTTAGTTTTAAGGCTAAGTCGTTGAAATTCTCTTATCATTTAGACCTGCAACATAAAATCGAAGGCATAAAGGGTGGCTTTTGTAGTCTTGTACTTTCACTCCTCACTCTCCAACCTTCTCTAATGGAGGAAATTGGATTTCCTCTCCTCTGTGTTCTTTTCACTTTATCACTCTCATCCATTCTTTCTGGTAGCAACTTACCCACTCCATCGGATGGATAAATCTCAATTCAGAGAACATGTATAAGAATGTTAATTTTTCTTTTCATTTAGCAAGAAGATAGAATCTTTATTGCCTCAATAATTTGTTTAATGAATGAAAACTCATCATGAAATGTAACTCGTTTGATTTTGTAGAAGATCGTGAAGCATGTCTGAACATCAGGTTGAGCTTAAAGAAGATGAAGAAAGAGCTCAAAGGTGAAGATTCTAGTTCAAGAGGTGATGCAGAATACTTTGTTAGTCATCATCAGTCATCAAGACCAAAAACAACCAATTTTTGAAAGAAACAAGAAAGATGTTTACAGGTGGAGCTCGAGACATGGACCTCACAGCAGGTGGGACGCTTTTTGGCGAGCATGGCTGATTTTACCGTGTAGTAGAGGTGAATCTATGGTGGAGATGGTGAAAAATGGTGGTTCTGGGTTTTCTTGGGGATGTGTGTGTATGTGTGTGTGTGAGAGAGAGAGAAAGGGAAGAGGGGGAAAAGGGTAACCGGGTAATAGGGTTGGGAGGTTTGTTGTTTCTTTTTTATTTTTAAATTATAGAAATGGTAAAAGAAATAAAAAAAACGTAAAAAATAAATTAAAAGGGTATAAGAGTCTTTTTATGTTTGATAGGGATCATAACCACAAAAAAATCTGATTTTGGACCAATGATGCAAGTTGAAAAGATTTTGGACTCCATCCACATTTTTTGGCAAACCACAGGGACTAAATTTGCAGTTTTGTCTTTCAAATTTCATATTTTTGACATTTTGTCGAAAAATTAAAAATTACCGATTATGTTTTGTTAAATTAGGGACTTATGGTTAACGGTTAATGATTATTTTTTCTTGAAACTTTATTATGTCTAATGAAATTACGGTTTTTTTTCTTATTGTATATTATGCGAAATATTTTTTGCGTTACCTCTTTACTTTGATCCTGACTCCACCAATGTATACCCTTTTTAAGTATCATAATATCATATTTGTCCAATCTAAGTTTTAAAAATCATATCTATTTTTTATAAACTTCAAAATATCATATATTTCCAAACTCTTTTTCTTATATTTTAAAATAATTTTAAAATTTTATTTTTAACAAGGTCCCTAGTTTAGTGTCGGTCCTACCTTTGTTGTAGTCTACTAGGGTAAGCGGTAACATGAATGTTGCTTCCGGCTATACGTTATGTTCGACGAAGCTGGGTAGATGTGTTTCAGGTGGTTTTATACGTGGCTCAAGAGTTGCTTGTAAAAGTGTTTGTATATAACATTTGTCGAGTTGTTACTATCTATATAAATGTCATTCATGTAGTTCTTGCCAAAGAATCCCCTGATTACTGTGGCTTCCTCTCATTTATGACTATTGGGTTGTAATCACATTCTCCATCTCACTCATGATCTGTTTCGTACTGATATACTATTTGAACATGAAAATCTTGTTCTTCCCTAAATTCTTTACTTTTGGTTAGATTGGTGCAATACTTTCCAAATGTTTGGACCGAAGTCCTTTCATCAGGTCGGTAAATTGTCTAGACTGCATCTTGCTTTTCGATTCTCGTCGCAATGGATTCGTGAAACTCATACACTACAAAAAAATGCCAATTAGTGACCAAAACAAAATGGTCACTAACAATAGTATGAATTGTCACTAAATGATTTAGTGACCAAAATTCAAGTCGTCACTTTTCGTCACTCTAGGTCCGTCACAAAACCGATTTTGTCACAAAATATTAATATGGTCAGTAAAGAGTGACTAAAATATACTCGTCACTAAATCTGTGACGACCCACTTCGTCACTATGTTGTCACTAATCAATAAAAGTCGTCACTATTTTATCTACTTAGTGATCAATTAAAGTCGTCATTGTTTTATCCGATTAGTCACCACATAAACAGGTCGTCACTGATTTATCATATTAGACACAAAAAGGGGGTCAATAATTAAGAAATTATTGAAATATCAAATGTCATTTTTAATATGAAATATAACAATATCCAATTAGACAAAAGAAAAATCAATCCTATAAATTTTTACAATACAACAACAATAACCAAATAAATCTTCACAATTTTAATATGAAAATTAGATGTCATTTTAAAAAACAAAATCCATATATTTTATCCAATATTTCAAAAACAAACATATAAAGATCAATGTGGATTAAAAGTAAATTCAATTGCTTCCAAGGGTAAACTTGTGTTCAACCAACCACACACAAAGGTGAAAGTTGAAAGCTGAAAGGGATGAGGTTCTTGTGTGAACGATGATTCTCAAAAGGTAAAACATATCTCTTTTTCTCCTCTCTCTGTTGCACACATTCTTCATCTAGTCATTATCACTACCAAAATAAAAATAAGAAATAAAATGAAATGTGTGTGTGTGTGTGAGGGTACCTTGATTAAAGCTTCTAGTAAGTTTTTGGCTTGATCAAGATTGCGCATCACTTGATTGACAAATAAAATGTAAGATTAAGAAGTAGGATGAGAACATATATGGGTTAAAAAGAACATCGTGAAGCTTTTCAAATAATTAGACATTGTTTTCTCTTCTTTGCATCTGAAAATGTATAAACATTTTTTAATACCTTAGATTATGTAAAAATATGAAGAATTGATAGACTTACCCTTCTTGTATAAAGTCTGTGAGCTTTCTCCTTTAGTCTAAATACATTGTATGGGTTGGTGTCATTAAGTGGAGGAGGTGGTTGTAATAACAACAAAAAGGAATATATATATATATATATATATATATATATATATATATATATATATATATATATATATATATATATATATATATATACCATTTAGGGGCAAAATGGTCATTTGAAAGAGGAAACTAACCTGCAGGCGGCATAGAATGGGTTTAAGCCATCTTTCATGCTGATAAAAAAGGAACAACTTTGTAAGCAAAAATTAAAAATCATAAAACCAAGAGTACTCATTGTTTAAAAATGATATCTTTTCTTTCCGGTAACTGTAAATTGACTGGAAAACCCCATATTGTATGGAAAGAGCTTGAAGGGGCCAAATAGATAAAATTCAAGATATAAATGCAAATTGAAAAAAAAAATCCTAAGAGTTATATAGATTGTGATAATATCATAATAATACTAAAAATGAAAAATACCTCATCTGCAACATCAAATGTTTTTTAAATGACTCACATCTAAGCAAATTCAATCGCTTTACTTTTATAATCAATAAGCAGTTTTTTAAATCGACTACTAAAATATATTAAAAAAAATGACTCACATGTAGGTATATAAGCCTATTCACCAATTCAAAAAGCAAACTCTGATTGGTTTTTGGTAATATAAAGTTAAAAACATATTCATGTAAAAAGTAATAAAAAATGTAGTTAATAAAATTACTGAAATCAAATAATCCTATTGAAAAAGGAAGTATGAGAAACTTACTTCCATTACTATGGGATAAAGGAGGGGGTAGGGGGTCCATAGTAGTATGTCCCCTGCTTGATGTAGTATTGATATATGTTGACTGGATTAAGCAGATGGATTAAAAATTCAATGTTACTTAATCAATATTGTTGACAGATGTCTACAACATTGTTGACAGATGTTTGTACAGTAGCTCATCTACAACATTGTTGACAGATGTCTGTACAGTAGCTCCCGTTGCAGCCGCAACTCGGTGCAGATCATCTTCATCAACTCTTCCAGCACAGAAGATATCTTTGTCTGCAAAATACTGATAACAAAAAAAACTTTTAAAATTTGAATTTCATTTGTGGAAAAGTCAAAAGAGTCAACACCAGCCAACCTGTGTAGCCAGATCACCAATAGCAAGACGACAAAGTACAATCTTGGCACCAGTCTTCACACATTTATCCAACTTATCATAAATGATATTCCACTCTGCATCAACAATAGACTGATATTGCAATGGATCTAAAAGTCTGTTGATAAAAACAAAAAGAATGTCAAATGTTAAATCACATTCAAACTAAACAAATAAGATCATATCACTAATTAATCACCTCAAAATTTCCATAATCTAGAAGATAAATAACAGAAAATCACAAAAAATTCTAACATTACTCAGAGGCACACAACAAATCGATCATAAAACCTCAAACTAAACAATGGGGAACAAACGCCACCACGGCAGCCCTCAATCGGAAACGTACAATAAAGTTAAAGAAATCGAATCCTTTCATAAGTGATTACATATTTCTATGTGTTTTCGATTGTGTGTGTTCATACGTGCTTGTGTAAGTGTGTGATTCTGAACATGAATCAGAATGGAGTTGAGAACCGAAAAAGTAGGTAGAGGAGGATGTCGTCCCTAAGCAATCAAAGAGGAAGAGGAGAAGAGAGATTGAGAAAAGGATAAAATTACCTTTCGAAAATTAGTAATGATGAACACAGAATCAAATGCGAGGAATTAAGCCCCGATTGAGGTTTTTCGAGCCCTAATCACACCTTAGTCAAATTTTGGGGGAAGTGATTACCTAATCGAAGCTTCAATTGGGAAAACTAGGGCTTCAAACTTTGGAGCACGGTACTATACTGAACGAAGGAGAAAGTGGTGATTTGATGCGGTAGCAGCGCCGACGGAAGACGAAAGGCGAGGTAACGATAGTGGCGGTGTTCAATGCAGATTATGAATAGAGGAAAGCGAGGGGATGTCTGCATAGCGTAAATACGTAATGGAGATGATAACCACATTTTGCTTTATTTTATTAGTATTTAATCCTCAACTTATCATACTGAGTTACCCCTTCATCTTTTAAGCATTTCCACTAAGACCTTTACTAGGATTATTATTACTCCAAACCCGTTTATACCAAATTACGAAATTACCCTAACATCAAATGTGTAAAAATCACTAAAATGAAATTAACAAACCTATATGTAATGACACCATACTATTTAACATTGTATATTTAATGTGAAATTACCACAATGCACTTCCATCGAATAAACCATCATGGTGGCCATTTACATGATATGAGTTTATAATTTTTATTTTGTTTTTAAATTTATAATGAAATTTGTTCGGTGATCATTATCATACTGTCCTAACTTTTTTGCAATTTTCAATTGTATATTTAATTACTGATTACTATTTTTCAGCTCATAAATATATAAATAGCTAGTGACCACTATGTTTGGTCACTAAGTTTTTAATCCAGTGACCGTTATTTATGCTCACTGAGTAGTCAAGTCAGTGACCATTATTTTTTGTCACTAAATCTCTAATGCTACTATTTTTCATCTCCAATCAAGTGATCATTATTTTTCGTCACTAAGTCTCCAATATAGTGATCACTATTTTTGGTCACTAATACTTGTTATAACGTAATTATTTAAACTTTATTTTATATTTTACTGATGGGTAAGTGACGACCATCATGATAGTGGTCATTAAATTTGTAGTATTACCAAAAATTTAGTGACGACTAAAAATATGGTGACTAAATGATGTTATTAGTGACCACATTTTAGGTCATCAGTAAAAGCTAGTCATTAAAATAGACTTTTCTTGCAGTGATAGTACTACCCATGATCTTTATTTCCAGTAAGAGGTCTGACTCAGTTAATCAACATTATTTGGAAGAAAGTTTCAATTATTCATTTTATAATAAAATAAAATTGAAGTCCTATATACTTAACTTTATTAAATAGTCTGTTTTACGTTTAAATTTAATAAGGGGTTAAGTGTCAAAATGGAAAACTAAAAATTAAATCAAACTAATTTAAATATGACTAGTGCAAATTATGAAAGTCAATAGGATTAATTTAGAACTTTAAAATGTCAAAATTTTAAAAGAAAATGAGGCTAAGATAGTTATGCAATAAGAAAGTAAACTTCATGGACTTAAACTTTAAATTTCCCTTTAATATATTTTACTGAGTCAAGTAAAAGGTGAGGTCTGATTCGGTTAATCAACCCATTGGATGATGTAATTTTGAGCCTTTGGCCGAGTAAGATGAGTAAAAAGACTCAAAAGAGTCTGAATCAACCAAATACACTGATTGAATTAATTTCCAAGAAAACTCTCTTTTGCATGGCACTAACATGCCTTGAGGGACATCCCCTCCCCCTTTGAACGACATTTTCTTCAGTGACTTCTTCACCATCGTAGGTTTCGACATCATCAACTTCTACCTCACCAGCCTCTTGCATCTCCAACTTCATCCTCATCGAAATTAGCTTCACCATATTCTTCCTCTCCAACATCGGTTCTCCAAAGCTTCTTATTTCTCCAAGGTTTCTGTTTCACCTTGTTTCTGATTTATGTGGCTTCTACCATTATTTTTGTTTTATTTTTGTAGGGTTGGAACCAAAAGTGAGTACTTTTATCTTAAAAGAATCATGTCATTATATTCGCTTGATTTTACATAAGTAATTTTGGTTGAATTATAGTGAATACCACACCATTCAACCTTATAAGTCCATGCTTCCCTATTACTAGTATCGTGGGTCGTCAGTCATGTACGCAATGATTTGCTGAGCTCATTAAACTAGTTTCTTTTGTATGAGCTTTATACTATATTGTGATTTAATCACAATTAATAATATAAAAATTACTATATAAAAATTCATTCCATTCCTTATAGGTTAACCAAACTATTCCATTCCATTATATATCTAGTCAGATCATTTTCTTCGTTTTTCTATTTATCCAACCAGAAAGACAATAGAAAAAAAGTCCAAATTCATCGTTCACTACAAGAAATCAAAGCATTAGCTGCGACGCCTTTAGCGGCGACGCATAGCAATAGCGGCGACATGTAAATGACGCGTTACATGTCGCCGTTATTGCTATGCGTCGCCGCTAAAGGCGTCGCCGCTAATGCTTTGATTTAGCGATCCGCGTCATTTTCACCCCATCCGTCGGATTTTATTTTGATCTAACGGCTGTAGAGGAAAGCGGAAACGCGCATTTCCTTTTCCCTCCACATGTCGCCGCTACTGCCCTGATGTCGCCGCTATTGCCCTTGCGTCGCCGCTAAAGGCCGTCGCCGCTAATACTAAACGCAGATTACCCCTTCACAGGTTCTCTTTCTGCCATTTTCTTCCTTACCTTCCACCTTCTCTCGTTTTCCTCTCTTTCTTTCTTCAATATCACGATTTTTTGACAAGTTTGTGGAGTTGGAATTGCTTCTTGGACCGGTGCTTGCCCCTCCTTCCCCCAAGATTGCCATAAACCGGTGATATTTTTGCAAATTCCGAAATTGCCCCTCCTTCCCCCAAGGTCGAATTTCTCATCTTTTTCTATGATTTTTCTGTTTTTGTGTTAATTAAGATGATAAAATGTGAACATTTTTTAATTATATTGAGTGATTATGTTTGTATTTTGAGATATGAAGTGGTTAATGTGAGCATTTTGTTGGATAATTTTGTTTGATTATATGTATTTTGTTGGATTATTTTGTTGGTTTGTGTGTGTGTGTGTGTGTTTTTTTTTCCAGATTTGTGGGAATTTAATTATGCATTTTGTGTATATTTTGATAATTATGTTTAGATTACATTGATGTATAAAAAAAAATGACATGAATATATACATTTGTTGGATTGAAATTTATGTTTATACCACATTGCCTGAAAATGAAATTTAGATGTTTATATTTGTATGAAGTTGGATGAAATTGGAATATACAAAGTGTTTAATTTTGTTAGTGACTTAATGTTTGGCCTACTTAATAGCAACATACTTTTAGTGACTTAATGTTGGTCATTACAACTTTAGCTTTAATTAGGTTATTAATAGCAACGTACTTCTAGTAATATTAATTTAATTATAGAATAAATTTAAATTAATTTAAAAAAAACATTAAAAAAATAACAAATTAGTTGTAAAATCAAGTTAATGTTAAAATTAAAATAAAATAAAGTTAGTTTAATAAATTAAAATTAAAATAAAGTTAGTTTAATAAATTAAACTAATAACAAAAAAGAAAATATTAAATTAATTATAAAATCTAATTAATTTACCTTTAGAATCAAATTAAGTTACCTTTATAAAATCAAATTATTTGAAAATGGAATTTGAATTTGATGTATTGTATGAAATTGGATGTATTGTATAATTGCATGAAATTAATTGGAATATGAAAGTTGTATTGTATGTTTAAAATAAAGTGAAAAAATGGAATTGAATCTATTGTATATATGTATGATTATGTGATATTTAGGTTTAATAGTTTGGTATACATATGATGAGTGATAAAGTTCTTAATTGATAAGTTATAGTTTTTGTAGTAATTTTAATTTGTGCATGGAAATGTATTTAGATGAATTTGTATGATTTTCTATTTAGAAGTATATTTTGGTATAATGAATCTGTAAATTCTATTCATATTGTAATTCTGCAGGCTATATATGGGGTTTAGTTGGGCGATACTCTTCTACGTGATGGCGGATGTTATGGGCTTAGGACATGGAGGTGACGGAGCCGGGGATCCACCACCTCCCGGAGGCTTTGGTCGTGGTCAACACGAACAGGATGGTAAGTCTTATTATGATATAGTTGTTAGATATTTTTATCGATGTATTATAAGCTATCGTGACTAATATTTTTAATTATATTTTTCAGCCGAGCTCCCTAAGAAAAGAAGAGGCCTAGCAAAAAACATTCAACTATCAAAGATAATACGGGCAAACAAGGGAAAGCCTGTAGATTTGGATTTCGATAGGGAGCTGACATATTCCCCTGTCGGGAACCATGGAAATTGGTTTACCCGTGAGATTGGGAAGTATATATGGATGAACATCCCTTTGAACGTATCTGGTTGGGACAATGTTTCCCCCGCTTTAAGGAATGCCACAGTGGTTCATTTAAAGGTAACTCGGACAATCTTTTAAATTTAGTTCTAATTGGTATTTAACTAACTAACTTTTTTGTATTTGTAGAATAAGTTTGATTTAGATAAGGTTAACTTGGATCCCGAGCGTGCTCAGTTGTTGCAGAGCATTGATGCGACTTTGCAAAGAATTTATAGAGGCCGGAAAAATAAAGCGCATACTTATTTTGAGAATGTCGGGGGGCTTACAGATATCCCAAGGGCATTAGCCAACCCCCCCGATGGAATGTCACGTGAAAATTGGGCGCAAGCAGTCGAGCATTTTCAAACTCCTGAATTTCTAAAGCGTTCGGCGTCAAACAAAGGAGTCCGTGCACAACAACAAGTTGTAAACAGAGGGGGATCGTGCTCGTATAGCAATGCATGTTTCAAAGAAGTAAACTATGATATGTTTAATTGTTTATTTAAATTATAATTAATCTAATTTTTAATGTTAAATAGGACATTGCTCGAATCGAAGCATTTCGCAAGGCCAATACTGATCGCCATGGGGTGTTTAGTAGTCCTGCAGTCGAGCAACAATACGTAAGTGGTTAATTTGTATTTTCATATAAGTACTTATATCGTCAAGGGGTAGTTAGTAATCTAATTTTTATTATACTTTTTATTTTTTGAAAATACAGAATGCTTTACTCTTTGAGATCAGTCAACAAACTCAAGCTTCTTCTGAAGCCAGCGGTCTAACACCGAAGGATACACAAAATTGTTTTGAAAAAATATTGGGTGTTCGACGTGGCCATATCAGAGGCATCGGACGTAAACCTTCTACGGTTGTGTCGATGTACGATCAGGAACAACCACTAACACAACCACTACCACAATCACAGGTGACAAGACTATTTAAATTTGGTAATTGTTTAAAATGTTGGTAATTGTGGGTTTAGTAATAGTTTTAAATTTTGGTAATTGTTTGTTTGATAGTAGTTAATATATTGGTAATTGTTAGTTTTGTTATAGTTTGATATATTGGTATTTTATAGCTTGGTAATTGTTAGTTTGGTTATAGTTTGATATATGGAATGTATATTTTGTATATAGAATGTTATAATGCAAGTTTAACTTATAAGACTATGTTGTTTTATTTGTAGTTGGAAATGCTTCAAACAATGTTAAAAGATCCGGCATGTAGTGCTGCGCTTGAAGATTGGTTTCGTTCGTTGCCACAACGAAATGAAATTGGAGGAAACGAGGAGAGCGATGATGACGAGTAGATCGTTGTAGGATTTTTTTATGTTTTATCTGTGCAAGTATTTTAGACTAGTATTTTTGTTATTTTGTTATATGTTAAATCGGATACTATATTAATATTTTGGAATTGAATGATGTAGGATTAGATTAATTAATATCATACCAGTTTTTTTTCAATTTTATTGAGAAATATATATAATATATATAAATATATATATATATATATATATATATATATATATATATATATATATATATATTATATATATATATATATATATATATAAGAAAAACACCAATACCGGCGACGCCTTTAGTGGCGACAGTCGGTTATTACCGGCGACAGGTCTTTAGCGGCGACAGACAAGTATTAGCGGCGACATGTCTTTAGCGACGACAGATAAGTATTAGCGGCGACAAATCAATCAATAGCGACGAAACATCAGCGTCGACGTTTTAGCGACGACACGTCGCCGCTAATGGTATTAGCGGCGACAAGTCCATCTTTTAGCGACGACACGTGTCGCCGGTAATACTCTAGTTTCTTGTAGTGGTTTCAAAAGTCATATAGAGTTTAAAATGGTAGCAATAAGCCTAATTAAAATAGATACTATAAACCCAACTATCTAATCGAACGATATGACGGATAATGTATCACTATGATTTTCTTCTTCTGAAATCAACACAGCTTCTTCTTCGGACTCCCTTCCAGCATCTCCAGCCACGGATAATTTGTCAGTATGACTTTCTACTTCTGAATTGGAACCAACTTCTTCTTCCGACATGCTTCCTCCATCTACACCAAAATCATTGTTTGGCACAAGATCCTACAATAGAAAAACTGTTGTTATCAACAATGGTAACAATATATATGGAGAAAATGAATAGTAATGAACCAAATTAATAGAAGCAACATGCTTCAGTTTTAACAATGAAAAGTTAAACTGTTAAATAGCAAGCCTAGAATGACCCATTATCAATTTAAGTATATGTAACGAGTATAGATATAAACAATTCTAATTTTCTCACCTAAGAAGAGGAATAATAGCTAGTTGTAGTGTGTCCAAAAAAGTGATGCTTTTTTACCTTTAATTTCTTCATAGATAGTAATGCCCTGAACCAATCAGTTAAAGCTGATCTTGACGTTAGAGATGCCTTGAGAAGTAAAAGTGCCTGTGCGCATAA